AGAGAGAGAGAGAAACAGCACGAGAGGGGAGAGGGTAAGAGGGAGAAGCAGGCTCCCTGCTGAGCCGGGAGCCCGATGTGGGACTCGATCCCAGGACTCTCGGATCATGACCTGAGCCGGAGGCAGTTGCTTAACCAACTGAGCCACCCAGGCGCCCTGTCTCTTCATTTATTGAGATATTATTTGATTTCTCTTAGCAAAGTTTTGAAGTTTTTAGTATGTAAGTCTTGTACTTCATTTGTTAAATCTGTTTCTAAGTATTGTTTCTGATGTTGTGATGAAAGTGAAAAATTATTTTTGGTTTTTCGTTGCTAGTATATAGAGATACAGTTGATTTTTGAACATTGAACTTATATCCTCTGCCTTTGCTGAACTTGTTTATTAGTTCTAGGAGTTTTTTTGTGGGTTCCTTAGGATTTTCTGCATACAGGATCATGTTGTCTGTGAGTAAAGAGTTTTATTTCTTCCTTTTTCATCTGAACACCCTTAATTTGTTTCCATATCTTTCCTTCCTTCTCCTGCTGCACTGGCTAGAACCTCTAGTACAGTGTTGAATAGTGAGAGCAGACATCCTTGCTTTCTTCCTAGTCTAACGAGAAAAGCATTCAGACTTTCACCATTAAGTATGATGCTATTTGTAGGCAGGTGCTGTAGGAAAAGGAAGGAGAAGACAAAGATTTGAGAAGTATTTAAGAGTTAGAATGAACAGGACTTAGCAACTAATTGTATACAGGATATAATTTGTACGTTTGTGGGAGATTCTGGCTTTATTTTTATGAAGTAGGGTGGAATTGAAGATAAATTTATCTCCTTTTGGGAAGATTGACTTTTTACAGTAAAAGGTTTTCTCCCCCTCTCAGTTTTTATTTTAGTTGCCAATTTCAGATCAGTGTTAATTTTTCAAATGCTAAATTAAAAAACTTTTTTTTCTGTAGTTATAAGTTAATATGTTCCATGAAGTTGGAAACAATGTTATCACCATGTTTTTGTTGAGGAACTTGAGATATGGTAGAATGCTATAGATAGAGTGATGGAGACATCCACGTCTCTTTCATACAGTGCTCTCTAAATCTTTGATTTAAATGTTATTCCAGAATTGTGTCAGATGGGATACATGAGTCATCGACATCTTTTTTTCTTTATCCTCCCCAAAAAGGAATTATGTCTTAAATGTTAAGTGTATTATATAGAAGGACTGTTTCTGTGCTTTGGTTTCACAAATCAACCTTTCCTTGTTTTTGTTTCTTAGGCCTTTAGTGGCTTCTGGCCCACTGTGAACCTAAATTCTTAAAGAATTTAACACAGGCTAACTGACAAGTGACAGGGACTCAGAAGGGAGTTTTATTTAGCCATCCTGAAGGATAGGAAACAGATCATAACAGTGGTGGTGGTTGTAATTACAGTGTTCCTATTAATATGTTAAGTGTATACACTAGACATTTTCACTGAGTATCTTTAGCTGACCTCATAGGCTAGGTTTTCAAGAACAGAGAGCTCATTAATATGAACTGTAGCTAGAATCATTTACCTTTGGAAACTTGCTTCCAAGGAAAGAGACCTTAGGAGTTTTATGGATCTGAATTCAAACCCTGCCTCTCTATCTTTCATAAGCTTGTGAAAGTTACTTTATTTTTGAAGTTTATCTAAAAATATGTGTTTTTTCTGACTATAACGTAATATATGGTGCTGTAGAAAATTTGGAATACAAAAGGCCCAAAAGATTTCTTTCTCTTTTCATGCATAATTCTAGATTTAGAGAAAATTCTCTCATGGAGCTTGCATTCCAGTGATAATCTTTACAAATCTAGAAATAGCCTAAATGTCTACCAATAGAGATTGCTGGTTAAATATGTTCTGGTTCACCCATATCCTAAACTCTGTAGCAGATAGAAAGCCTGAGAGCAGTGTTTAAGAGTGGGGGCTCTATGTTCAGATCTTGGTTCTATTCCTTATTAGTTTTGTGACCTTAACCTCTTGATACTTAAATATCCTACTATAATGCCTACTTCATAGAGGTTTTCTGAGGATTAAATGGGGTATAACAAGTCTAACACATTATACAGTATCTGGCATATAAGTTATAAATGCTTGATAAATATTGTTAGAATATTATTAATTTTATGTGCTGTTATGGAATGATTCCCAAGATAAGTGTATAATGTAAGGTATCAAGAAAAGTTTTTTTGTTGTTGTTGTATGATGTCATATGTGGACATTAAAAAGTAGACACATATTTTTCTTGAAGGATACCTGATAAAATATTAAGTGGTTACATTTGGGAAATAGGATTGGGGATTGGATGGAGGTAGAGAGATGTACCATTTGTTTTTACCTCTTTGTGAGGTTTGAGTTTTTTAATGCCAGGTATATATTCCTTTTGTTTACTTTTTGTGTGTCATCCTTGCGCAGGGGCCATGCTAATCTTCTCTGTATCGTTCCAATTTTAGTATATGTGCTGCCGAAACGAGCACTCCTTTTGTTTACTTTTTAAAAGATGTCTTCCTGGGGCGCCTGGCTGGCTCAGTCAGTAGAGCATGTGACTCTTGATCTCAGGGTTGTGAGTTCAAGCCCCACATTGAGTGTGGAGTCTACTTTAAAAAAAAAAAAAAAAGATGTCTTCCTTTATAGATTTATTTTCTTTGTCTTTTCTCTATGTTGGAAAATCTTATTTCCTCTGCTACTTGTAATAACTTTATTTACATAATTGTGGAGTTTGAACATAGTTCTGGAACCAGCCCTTTGCAGATAGGTTAAAGTCATATTAAAGACTGCTTTGAGATAAGTAAACATATCATATATCTTGTTTAAAAGGAGTTTCATGTATAATAGCAGAGCATTGTGTTTCCCTGTTTCACTTAATAGATGGGATAATGATGTCAGCAAGGCTCTTACAGAAACGGTTATATATTTAGAATTCTTCTGTGGATTCAGAGTTTTCCCCTCAGCAAATATTTACCTATTTGACAGTAATAGATAAAAAGGCATACTTCCTTGTCCTTTCCCAATCAATTAGAAACAATTGTACTTAACAGATTAGTTTACTCTGAAAGGCATTTGGAAGATTCATATACTGAGTAGTCTCTAAATTCATTCTTCTGCCCTATCTCCTTTTCTCTCTCTGCACTCGTATACCTGTGTCTCCGTTTCTTTCTCTCTCTCCATCGTCTCTAGACAGAGGATGTAAAGATTAATGGGGTGCAGTCCCTGTACTTAAGAAGCTCACATCAGGGGGCGCCTGGGTGGCTCAGTCATTGAGCATCTGCCTCCGGCTCCGGTCATGGTCCCAGGGTCCTGGGATCGAGTCCCACATTGGCCTCCCTGCTCGGCGGGAAGCCTGCTTCTCCCTCTCCCACTCCCCCTGCTTGTGTTTCCTCTCTCGCTGTGTCTCTCTGTCAAATAAATAAATAAAATCTTAAAAAAAAAAAAAAGAAGCTCACATCAGTTGATCCATTCTAGTATTCTTTCTGAACTACTTTTTGGGGCGGTGGGGGAGAATTACGAATTTCTCTCTATTCCCATTTTTTCAGTTCAGCTTTGAAAACATTTATTAAGTACTCAGGATGTGCCAGGCACTCTGGTAAAGGGTACACAGGTAAATGAAGTCCCCCCTTGCATTGCTTGGTTTCTTTCAAGGAGATAGGTAAGTAGATTTCAAAACAATTTGATAGATGCTATGTCTGTGATATTGTTTGGTTATCACAGTGAGATAGTTTTTGGTAGAAAAGTGCCACCAGATTGAGTTAAAGAATATACATTTTCTTTAATGGCAGAAATTAACCTGCTTTGAGACATTTATACAAAATAAGAGCCAGCATAGCGTACTCCAGAAGTGAAGTTTCCTTGTCCTCCCTAATTCCTCAAGGAGGTTCAGAGGTGCCTCTGAAGTGTGAGAAAGTGCCAGACCTGAGAAGCCAAGTTCTTGATCCTTCACTGTTCCTTTTTTCCTTCCACCATACTTTTTTTTTTTTAAGATTTTATTTATTTATTTGACAGAGAGAGAGAGAGAGAGAACAAGTAGGCAGAGAGGCAGGCAGAGGGAGAGGGAGAAGCAGGCTCCCCGCTGAGCAAGGAACCCGATGCGAGGCTCGATCCCAGTACTCTGGGATCAGGACCTGAGCCGAAGGTAGCCGCTTAACCGACTGAGCCACCCAGGCGCCCCCCACCATACTTTTTATATTAGAGGGTTGCATTGGTATTCCAGAAGAACCTGCTTTGCAATTTATGTGCTTATATCAAAGAGAATGTTTACAAACATAGAGCTTTCCTACTGCTGAAATCAGTCTCCGTGTTAGCAAGGCCAGGTTCTTAGTCCAAGGTGAAAAGCAGTCATCGGGCTAGTCGGCTGCCTGTCTAAATGAGCCCCTTAGTAACTCTGTTTCCTTGAATGTATATGGATACATATGATTACTTTGAAAGCACAGAGGAGGAGAAGCTAACCTGAGTGGAACAGAACAGAAATAATCAGGCAGGGCTTTATGGAGGATACGATATACTTCTTGAAGAGTACTTGCCCCGTCTGTACTCCATAATTAGTTTGCTAGTTTTGTACATTAAGGTAGAGTAATAATAACTGAAGAGTTTAAAGCTAAGTTACCGACATCATTTGCATCTCTAAAAGTATAAGGACATTTCCTGCATTACTATAATACTGTTTTCACACATTAAAAAAACAGTAATTCTTAATAATGTAATACCTGTCCATGTTCAAATTGCTCATTATCCTCAGAAATGTCTTTTGTAGCTGGTTTGTTCGAACCAGGATCCAATTAGGAACCATTCATTACAGTTAGTTATATCTCTTAAGTTTTTTTTTTCCTTCTTTTAAATATACTTTTTTTTTTTTTTTATGCTAAAACTTAGCCCACTGTCTTTACTTATTTATTTACCATGACACTGATTTGTTGAAGAGACTTGCAGTACAGAATGACCTGCCTTCTGGTTTTTGTCTGATTGCTTCCTTTGGCACCAGCTTGTTCAGCTTGTTCTAGTGTTCTCTATATTTCCTGTTAACTGGATGTTAGATGTACAGTTTGATTCAATTCAGGTTAAACATTTTTGGCACAGATACTTAGTAGGTAACACAGTGTTGCATTTCTTTAATCTATTGTTTTTGTTTTTTCCTGGTAAATTATTGATTTATTCAATGTCATTGCTACTCCTAGTAAAGCCTTTATTTGCAGGAGGTCAGCATCTGTATTAGATGGTAATGAATATTTTTAAAAAATTACAAATAGAACCTGGCATTATATCTAAGGTGAATACTTTTGATACTTGATATGTGTGTTTATATACACACACATCACACACATATATACCTACATACACACAGACACATTCATACAAACACAATAGATTACATATATACTGGATTGTGATGTAAACCTTATTTTGTCCTCTGTGTCCTATTCAGAAAAGTTTGATGATCATTAGTCTAGAGGAACTGAGTCATTGTTTGTGAGCTGTGCTATATCTCTGCACTCCTTGGAGTGAGAATACCTCATCAAGGTAAATTCCTGTCTACTGGCATGGATAACTATTTACTGTTTCACATATTGGGGAAACCATGTGTGATAACAGAAACAAACAAACCAGCAGCTGCCATCATACCAAACTACATACTGTATCTTGGTTAAGGTCCTTAAATATACTCCTTTGAGTTTCCTAATTCATCCCAGGAAGGATTCAGGGCACACCATTTTTATGTTGTTACTTGCAAACACTTTTGCTTTGCTAGTTCTTGTATTAGATCTTCATACACTTGTGAGAAGAGGTCCTTTTCAGATTTTGTTCTGTCTAGGTAAACAGTTTCCCACCTGATGTCTTCATTTCTTCTCTGTGCTTTAGATACATGGGCCACATGTGGCCATCAAAGTACCCTGGAGGGTCTGGAGGCTTGTAGACCTTTATACTCCTCCTTTTATATTCTTCGTAGGGATTGGTCAGAAAGTAGCTTCTGTTCCATAGAGTGTCAAGGGGCTTATAGTTAAAGAGAAGGAAGCCTTTGATCATTAATATGGGAATTTCTCAGCATTTCCAGAGTCTGTTGATAACAGTGAGTGTCTTGGGCTTTTTGTCCATCAGGAAATGGTGGATATCATTTTTTCCATGTTAAGTGCTTCAAGCACGTCATACTGCAGAAATCCATCTGTATTTGTCTGTCTCTCAGACTGTGGCTTAAAGAAATCATCCTGGGATATGATGCTGCAGTTTGGAAGGTGTTTCTGCAGATTCTTAGCCCAGTGTTGTCTTCCTGCCATTTGTCACAGTACTAATTCCAATGACAAATGTTTTCATAGTTAGCTTAGAAAATCATGTCTTCCTAAAAGTTTCCAGGTGCCAGTTCGAGTCCTCCCAAGCAAAGCAGCAGAAGTCCATAGTCCCTCCTTCCACACCCCTACCGGGTCATAGGTGGCCCACATCTAATCTGTTGTTTTCTTTATTTTGCTTCTCTTTATCTTTAATGCCAATGATAGAACTGTGATTCCACCCATCAGTTACCAGTCTTGGGCTTGGATAGTCACAACACTGGAGTATCAGCTGTTCTTTTCCTTTTTCCTTTGGGGATTTTTAGCCAGCCCTTTTTTGCCTTGTCTCTGATGTATTCTCTTACCTGGTATATTCCATGGTATATCCTCTTACCCTTCACTTCTTCCCTGACTTTTATTTTATATATAAACAGTTATAGTTCCAAGAGATCTTATTTCTTCTGTTGGTCCCAAGGAGAATGAGTAGAGATGAGAGAGGCCCAGGTTGGTCATTCTGGATATCATGGGTTAGATGGGGCATCTGAAAGTGGGAAGAAGTTAGAGGAAAGATTAAATACAACATAATTTCCCTCAGGATGTGAGTCCTTTATTGGTTATTTCCAGTGTCCTATGGTGAATGGCCTTAGTGTTTTCTTTTGTGAAAATTGTAATGCATGTTGACATAATGAGGGAGCTTGTGGAAATGGAGAGAGTTGATCAGGAGACAAATAGGTCAAGTATTCAATCAGTTCTTTTGGGAGGGGAAGAAGGTATTCCCTTATAATTTAGGAGCATAAGTAACTATGGAATTTTTGACCTATTCTTTCTACTTTGCAGTTAATATATTTTTTAAAGATTTTATTTATTTGACAGAGAGAGAGCACGTGAGTGCATGCATAAGCAGGGGGAGTGGAGGAGGTAGAGGGAGAAGCAGGCTCCCTGTGGGGCTTGATCCCAGGACTCTGAGATCACGACCTGAGCCGAAGGCAGACACGCAACCGACTGAGCCACCCAGGCGCCCCTGTAGTTAATATTAGTAGCTTATTAGAAGTAAAAAAGGACTTCCCTGTATTTCCCTACAGTAGAGCTATCACTAGGAGTAGGAAAAATTATTATTATTATATTATTATTATTTTTAAAGATTTTATTTATTTGAGAGAGAGAGAGAACACGCACAAGTGGTGAGGAGGGGCAGAGGGAGAAGGAGAAGCAGACTAATTCCAATG